TACTCACGACCTCGGTCAAGATTCTCCCATACAGACCGACTTAGCTCGGTTAATAAGATGTTTATTATATGGCAAAGAAGAAAACTTTAATTCGTTTATAATGTAACTGGTTTGCTGACATTTTGCTAGCGAACGGCGATGAGCTTAATTTAAACCTGCCGAAATTTGCTCGTCCTCTTTACTTCTTTATTTTTTTTTTTGTCATCAGGCTTTTTGGCACTTCCATAAATGATTGAGAAGAATATAAAAGAAAATGGTGAACATTTTTGTATTTTAGTTTGCTACTTTTTCGACGCAAAATGAAACCGGTCTACAGATGCCGGTCTAGATGAGAAAATCTAGACCGCGGTCAATATCGATTTCAGCCAGTCAAATTCGTGAATTCGGTAGTTCCCAGTCCTTGTGAAACACAGCCATATAATAATTAATGATAATTAGTCATTGACGATGTTGCATTTTCGATCGTAGGCGAAGTTGTGATTCTTAAATGTTTGGAACTCCACCAGTCCTGTTTTGACCTCTTCTAAATATGTCGCTAGTTCAACCGATGGTTAAATTGGCTTCTGGTTGTGCTGAGGCAAATCAGAATTATTTTGCGTTAGGTTAAAAGTCCTCGGACCGTTCTATAGTGATGCATAAGAAAATTGGAATTTAAAAAACAAAAACAAAAAGAACAACAACAACAACGAACTAACAAACAAAAATCCAAAAACAAACAAAAACAAAAACCACTAAACAAAACAAAACAAAACAAAACAAAGAAACAAGAATTATCGTAAAAAGACCAAAATCTGTCTTGAACTGTTCGTCAAAATGGGCTTGCTGGACCAATATGTCAAATTACAACAAGTCGATTACAACGTTTTTGTTTTTGTATTGTTTTTTGTTTTGTTTTTTTGTTTTGTTTTGTTTTGTTTTTCCCTCTCAATCTGTTTTATTATCCTTTATCTTGAATGGAATTTTATTTACAACTTGAACACTTACAATGATTCGAGTTGACGCATAACAATCTCAGCAGGGGGGAATGAAGCGCTACTGGGAGTATATTACGGGAAAGCGTCCTTCGCCATTCAAAGACTGGAAAAAGTTCAGACTTCAGAGAGTAAAACTGGTTTCAAAAATGGCCGCTATCAAAGCTATTTGCAGTTGGGTTCATCGAAAACATACATTTACTCGATCTTGCCCTGGGAAAGGAGAACTGTAAGACTCGAAATTCTTCCACAGGTACCAGGTAATAATAAAAATTTAGACTAGTTATGTGGATGAGTACCAAGTCTTGCCTCCAACAGATTCCCAGACGAACTGTCCTAAATGGCTTAGAGGGAATGTAATACTACAAACAAAAAGAGCAAGCAGTTTGTATCCCAGTTTTATTCCAATCCCATTCACCGTGTTACATACATGCATTTAAAGACAGTATAATAATTAGAACTATCCCAATTACACCCATGTAACACGATCTCATGACATTTGAGCCTAAAAGCAACATTAACCCTCCACCGGCAACTGGTTGTTCGCCTTGAATAAATGGAGAACGATCCTTTCCCCCAGCTGACATGTCGTCGTGTGGTCTAGAATTACTAGACTGCGCTTGAGCTAAGGAGAAAAGAAAAACCAACTCAAATTACAATACCGTAAACCACGCTAAATCACTGGGCCGTCCATATGACTTTCAAAGGAGTGTTGGGTGGGCTTGGGAGGGGCATGGGAGGCGCGGTGGCCTCGTGCTTAGTGCGCTCGTCTCCGGATCGAGCGGTCCGGGTTCGAGCCCTGGCCGGGGACATTGTGTTGTGTTTATCCGGGGGGGGGGGGTTATATCCGGAATAATTTCTTTGTTAGCAAATAGAAGGGCTTATAACTAGGAGGGGCTCTAACGTGGGATTTTACGGTATATCGATACGGTGTGATACCTAAAACCTAAAACATTAGCTTAAAAGAATCCACGTTGTTACTATCGGCGTGGCTCTAGCTCGAGATAAAGGCTCTTGGATTTTATTTTCCTTCGCATGTACGATGGTTGAAATACGATGTTAGCTTCATCTATCCTATAGAATTGAAGTAGTGTTCCGAGTAATTTTACCTTTTTAAGTCAACGCATGTCCTTTGCAAATACATTTTTGGAAGTAAAACACCAAGATTTAAAAAACAAATAAACAGCTCCTAGAGACGTCCTTCACTTGAGACTACAGTTATCCTTTTTTGAGGTTATTTTATTATTATATTATAAACACTTTCCTGGTTCCAGTATTTATACCTACCTTGTAACCTCCTGGTCATACAATGCATTGAGAAAGAGGGAGTGGTTGCGAAAGTTCTGCAAAACAGAGCAAACCAGATGAATGTAAAAGCTCTTTACGTTCAATTGCAACAGTTGAATTTCCGCGTTGAATTACAAATTAATAGCTACCTCGCTTGAAGCAGATGGAATGCATGATGGCTGAAACATGAATCATTATCGGCGTACCTCTCTCCACAAGAGAGAGAAAGTACGTGCATGCAGCGCGATTGAAGTGATAATTGTAGCACCTTAAGTAATGGTAATGGGACTGAGTGGAGTCCAATTCGGTCGGTTATCGTAAGAGTGATAACAAAATCGGACACCGCGCAGCGGGAGTCCGAATTGTTTATCACGAGTATGATTACGGACCGAATTGGATGACACGTCTTATTTCCAATTAATCGTAAAAGTTACAATTGCCGAGAAAAGAAGAATAGCCAAGTTATGAAAGAAAGGGAAAATTTGCATTAAAATACCTACACAGGAGATGTAAACATTCTAAGGCCACCGCGCCTCCTACCGGCAGTTGGGCGCCAAAAGCACCAAAGCGCACGCACACACCCACGCACGTAACTACAACTTTGAATGTGATTGGCTTATTGAACTGTCCGATAACAAACTGTCCAATAACAAACTGCCCGATAACAACTTGGCAAGTAAATTAGTGGAAAATAGGAGTTTTTTAAACCAATCACAATCGAGGAAATTGTAATTTTTATGATTACTAGCGGAATTAACAGTACTTCAATCATGCTTCGAAAACCGTGATTAGTTGGTTGCTCGAGGAAATTAGCAGCAATGCTTCTCTTTAAATTCGATGGTAAATTATGTTTATGGTGATAAGTTTTTCCCGAAGGCAGCCTCAGTTGCCCTTTACCTATTAAGCACATTAAATTTGAATCAATGAGATATTACTTACTCCTCCGCCAAATAATCCTCCTTTTGCATGTTAACAAAAGAAAAATAGTAATAAAAAAAAGAGACAATCGAAAGAGCCAAGGGTTAAAAAAGTGGCAAAGTACGTACGATTAATAAGAGTTGTCACTTTCGTGATTGCAACGAAGTTCATGCTATAACGTTGATTGCAACAGCATTTATTTGGATCAATACACTTTGAAAATGAATACCATGAAACTTAGGAATATTTTACGTTCTCCTTAGGTGCCACACACCAAGAAAAAAATCTAGCAATGCTCGAGAAAGCAAAACAGCGGCACAGTAGCTTACCTTTTTAGGCACCTCCTTCAAATTGTCCGTTACCTGCAGCATGTCCAAAATGTCATCTTCGACATCAACTTCTTCCAGGCTGTCAGACCGTTCGACAAGCAAAGAAAGAGACAGAAGGCGAAAATAGGAGCATCCATACGTGCTTGAAAATATCTGCAATCCACAGTTTCGCAGAAAAAGTGATGATTATGACCCAAAAGTGTAACAAAATTGCAAATATTTTTTTTAATTAATCACGTCATTGGTAATCGCTTAATGCTGGCACCTGACCGACAGGGAACTTAGGCAAACCGCGGTGACAACACCAACGGGTCAGTCAACAAACAAAACGCTTCACAAGCAGAACAAAGCTTTCGCGTGTGCGTACATTTCTTCCCCGTCAACTGCCAAACCAACAACAACAGCAACAACAACAGCAACAACAACAACAAACCCTGAAAAGACCAAGTTTTGTGTATTGTGGAGGACGTGAGCTCCAATGAAAAATTTTTCGTACCTTCTTTGGGAATCACACGCTTTCATTACATACATAGCCTGAGCATGTTTTTTTAGACCTTTTGGCGTAGAACTGAACAGATCTACACAGTTGCGACATTCGAAGGTAAAATATTAATCCATTTTTGTACAGGGCGTCGTCCTTGGTGTCACGGTCGTCATTGCTAAGGCTTCCTGTTCCGATGCGTGGGTGGTATACCGCAAATTATGTTTGACGACCCTTTTCGTGTATGTCTGAAACTGAGATCAATAGCATGCCACTAGGCGGCGAATATAACATTTTCGAGGCATGGTTACTAAGCTTGCCACCTTTGCAATCTCGGCATGTAAACATATGGCGGACAGTTGCTGAATGAAATTTTCATTTATTCGGAAGACATCAAGTCCAGGATATTTGAAAGGATGGAGAATTTTCAAAATGACGGTTGTCGCCCTTGGGCCAAACGTCGTTTCAAGAACTCGTATTCAAGGCATTTAATTAAGAATCGTAAACGCAGTGGTTACGTTGATCACCAGCAAGTCAGATCGATTGACCGAGCCTTATTTTTCTGTAAACTAACGCTACTCATTTTTAGACGATGATGGCAACTGTGAATGCATGAAGTCAACAGCGATAAGACCAAGGTACCGGATTAATTTATTCTTGTATTGTTTCGCTTTGTATTTTTTTTTTTACTGCCGAACTCGATGAGTAAACTGATTCACAATCGATGTACATGCAAGCTCAATTAGTTCAACTACGACTGCATACGTGTATGCAAACGAACAAGTGCGTCTGTGTTTTTATGTTTTAGTCTGTTATTTTGTAGTCCTCGATATTCACCTCTGAAAAGTATTCTGAAACAATTATTCGCCTCAGGCCCAGTGAACATTGATGAATATTCACCGACACGAAGTCGAGGTGAATATTTACCAATGTTCACTGAACCTGACGAGAATAATTGTTTTATATGAAGCAGCTAAAAGTAGGGTTTTCGTAAAGGAGGCAGTGAAAGAGGGGAAATAATTTACTGTACATTTAATGTCTCTGGCATTCCTTATTTCACATAACTACCGGACAGGTGCTAAAAAAAATGGTCTGGAGTCCAGCCAGCACAACTTGCAAGGCTTTGAGAAGGTTAACTTCTTATTCTCTGTTTTCTTTCTTTAAATAACAAAGTGAATGTTACCAAATTATACAATGGTAATACTGAGACGCTAAGCTAATTAGCCCTAATTTTCGTGGTCAAATTGTCTATAATCGTGATTAAAAAGTTGAGCTTGCTAAATCTATTACACTTGTATAAACATAAATGTAACAGTAGATCCGTTATTGGATGCTTGGCATTCACTATAATGGCGTGATCACTTGCCAGTTAAAGGCTATCGAAAGGGCGATTTACACCCCTCTGTTAGAATTAATGCAATACATAAAGTGTGACACACTCTAGTCCTTGAAGTATTTAACCCGGTGCTGCTTGCCGCACCTTTTTAAGGAAAATATTTACAAGGGTGTTGTAACACGTACCGTTCTTTGTCGGCAGAGTTTGCTTATTGCGTACGGCGGTGTGCATGGGTATGAAGCAGCTAAAAGTACGGTGTACGTAAAGGTGGCAGTGAAAGAGAATAAATAATTTATTGTATTTTTAATGTTGTATACAGCATTTCAGCATTTTACATAACAACCTGACAGTTGCTTAGAATGAAATTAAAAACGATTTGGAGTCCAGCAGACTCAACTTACAAGGCTTTGATGACGGTTAACTTCTATTGTGACCTTTTTCGTGAATCGCCAAGTAACCATGACAAACTGTGTCATCGAGTGACCGAAATCTCTTTCTGAAATATCTGAATGTAATTTACAACATCACTTTCGCAATATGCCGAAGAAGAGCACCTTCTCGCGAAGATATACGTCCGTAACCTTGCATTTTCTTTTGCGAACTGATTTTGCCGAAACCGATCAGGTTCTAGGGCAAAACGTTTTGCGTAGCCATTTTTTTTTTCAATATCTGGTATAAATTAAGGCAGAGCACTCGCGAAGCAGAAACATAAAGTTGAAATATTGTGCAATATTAATTCGTTTTTCCTGTAGCCGCAGAAACCGATTAAACAGTGACAGCTAGACGAAGTTAGATGTAGCCTAGCTAAATCCCAGCGCAGGGACAGCGTTAATGCTGACACAGTAGGCTCTCTAAAAAGACATACTGGTTTCCAGAGTGAAACATTCGGTCATTTTGGGATAAAAGTTATCCATATTTAGGCACATTTTCTCTTAAAGGGACATTGGTTCAGCCCGATCTTTGTGACTAAATTTGCTTGACATCTGCCAGTGAATTACAAAATTTAATACTGAAGCCACGCTTGCCGTCTAAATGGTTACTCAGTTGTCGTTGCTAACTTTCTCAAGACATTGCAAAAGACACATTGTAGCTTACCGTTCTCTGTCTTTAGAGTCCTCTTGAGCCAGGCTTGTGCTAGGTTTGCAGAGTTTGAAATGAATGAGCTAATAAGTGTACAGAATTTATGTAAGGCCTCGGAAGATTTCTAGATCGAAGTCAAAGAGGCGCATGCATATTCAGTGTTAACGGCATTCTTCTTCCACATAACAACCAGTGTGGAAAAAGTTTAGGTTAGGCCAATGTCAGTTCAGCCTGTGAGCCATTATCACTCTTAACGTGGGATAGCGATCTAAAATACCAGGGTTGAAACCTCGACGAAGGTTCTTATTATCAAGACAACATGTGTCTCACAGTACAGGCAAAAAAAAGAAATTGATGAGCTAGGTGTCCTATGACGCAATACTGAAGAAAACAAGCGTCGCCCAGCATGAGCTTATTATCCTTTTTTTTTTAAATATCCGTTTAGCTAAGATAACCGGCAAAGCGCTCAGATTGCCGCCTGGTGAGTTCTATTCCGATAAATACGACAGGATGAAAAGTTTAGGGTTGGAGTAAGCAGCCACTAAAGCGACGGAAGTTTAGCCCAACTGAATTAATTTTCCATTAACGTGCCATGCAAATTTCATTTTAACAACTGATTCGCTTGTCTCGCAAAGTAGCCATGACAAACTGTGTCATCGAGTGACCGAAATCTCTTTCTGAAATATCTGAATGTAATTTACAACATCACTTTCGCAATATGCCGAAGAAGAGCACCTTCTCGCGAAGATATACGTCCGTAACCTTGCATTTTCTTTTGCGAACTGATTTTGCCGAAACCGATCAGGTTCTAGGGCAAAACGTTTTGCGTAGCCATTTTTGTTTTTTTTCAATATCTGGTATAAATTAAGGCAGAGCACTCGCGAAGCAGAAACATAAAGTTGAAATATTGTGCAATATTAACTCGTTTTTCCTGTAGCCGCCGAAGAAACCGATTAAACCGTGACAGCTAGGTTAAGTTAGATGTAACCTAGCTAAATCCCAGCGCAGGGACAACGTTACTGCTGACACACTAAGCTCTCTAAAAAGACATACTGGTTTCCAGAGTGAAACATTCGGTCATTTTGGGATAAAAGTTATCCATATTTAGGCATATTTTCTCTTAAAGGGACATTGGCTCAGCCCGATCTTTGTGACTAAATTTGCTTGACATCTGCCAGTGAATTACAAAATTTAATACTGAAGCCACGCTTGCCGTCTAAATGGTTACTCAGTTGTCGTTGCTAACTTTCTCAAGACATTGCAAAAGACACATTGTAGCTTACCGTTCTCTGTCTTTAGAGTCCTCTTGAGCCAGGCTTGTGCTAGGTTTGCAGAGTTTGAAATGAATGAGCTAATAAGTGTACAGAATTTATGTAAGGCCTCGGAAAATTTCTAGATCGAAGTCAAAGAGGCGCATGCATATTCAGTGTTATCGGCATTCTTCTTCCACATAACAACCAGAGAGTTGCCTAGTGTGGAAAAAGTTTAGGTTTAGCCGGGCCAATGTCAGGTCAGGCTGGGAGCCATTATCACTCTTAACGTGGGATGAAGATCTAAAATACCAGGGTTGAAACCTCGAGGAAGGTTCTTATTATCAAGTTAACATGTGTCTCACAGTAAAGGCAAAAAAAGAAACTGATGAGCTAGGTGTTCTATAACACAATACTGAAGAAAAGAAGCGTCGCCCAGCATGAGCTTATTATCCTTTTTTTTTAAATATCCGTTAAGCTAAGATAACCGGTAAAGCACTCAGAGATTTGCCACCTGGCGTGTTCTATTCCGATAAATACAACAGGATAAAAAGTTTAGGGCTGGAGTAAGCAGCCACTAAAGCGGCGGAAGTTTAGCCCAACTGAATTAATTTTGCCCATTAACGTGCCTTGCAAATTTCATTTTAACAATTCGTTTGTCTCGCAAAGTAACCATGACAAACTGTGTCATCGAGTGACCGAAATCTCTTTTTAGAATATCTGAATGTAATTTACAACATCACTTTCGCAATATGCCGAAGAAGGTTAACGCCAGTTTCGAATTTCAGGAGCACCTTCTCGCGAAGATATACGTCCATAGCCTTGCATTGTCTTTTGCAAACTGATTTTGCCGAAACCGATCACGTTCTAGGGCAAAACGTTTTGCGTAGCCATTTTTGTTTTTTTTCAATATCTGGTATAAATTAAGGCAGAGCACTCGCGAAGCAGAAACATAAAGTTGAAATATTGTGCAATATTAACTCGTTTTTCCTGTAGCCGCCGAAGAAACCGATTAAACCGTGACAGCTAGGTTAAGTTAGATGTAACCTAGCTAAATCCCAGCGCAGGGACAACGTTACTGCTGACACACTAAGCTCTCTAAAAAGACATACTGGTTTCCAGAGTGAAACATTCGGTCATTTTGGGATAAAAGTTATCCATATTTAGGCATATTTTCTCTTAAAGGGACATTGGCTCAGCCCGATCTTTGTGACTAAATTTGCTTGACATCTGCCAGTGAATTACAAAATTTAATACTGAAGCCACGCTTGCCGTCTAAATGGTTACTCAGTTGTCGTTGCTAACTTTCTCAAGACATTGCAAAAGACACATTGTAGCTTACCGTTCTCTGTCTTTAGAGTCCTCTTGAGCCAGGCTTGTGCTAGGTTTGCAGAGTTTGAAATGAATGAGCTAATAAGTGTACAGAATTTATGTAAGGCCTCGGAAAATTTCTAGATCGAAGTCAAAGAGGCGCATGCATATTCAGTGTTATCGGCATTCTTCTTCCACATAACAACCAGAGAGTTGCCTAGTGTGGAAAAAGTTTAGGTTTAGCCGGGCCAATGTCAGGTCAGGCTGGGAGCCATTATCACTCTTAACGTGGGATGAAGATCTAAAATACCAGGGTTGAAACCTCGAGGAAGGTTCTTATTATCAAGTTAACATGTGTCTCACAGTAAAGGCAAAAAAAGAAACTGATGAGCTAGGTGTTCTATAACACAATACTGAAGAAAAGAAGCGTCGCCCAGCATGAGCTTATTATCCTTTTTTTTTAAATATCCGTTAAGCTAAGATAACCGGTAAAGCACTCAG